CAGGTCTCTGGAGCCCAGAGGTTGGGTGTGCCTCAGGTCTTGCACTTTGAATATCCTTGCTCTGAGCTGCTCTCCCTTTCCCTAGGGACCTGCACTCAGTAGGGGGTATCCAGTACCTGGAAAGGGTAATTCAAACAGTCTTGGGGGTGATGACCACAACCTGATAGGGGTGGGCCCTTCCTCTCTTTCCTGGGGCTTCCAGACTGAACTCACTAGGGAGCTCAAATCTGCTTCCTGGTAGGTAACACAGCTGCAGAGCCCAGCACACACTTGTCTGACTCTTAGGCTGAAGCCCACTTGAGAAGACATAATCACAAAATCTCAGCTCTGTGTGGCTCCCTGGCACCTCTGTACCACCTAACCAAGATGGAGGAGATAAAAAAAATCAGCCCCACTTGGCACTCCAATCTCTTCACATAGCAGCCACAGCAGGGTACAAATGAGCCAAATGTCCCACTCCCCTACACTGTCTAACCAAGCAGGGCAGGCCCAAATTTCCAGTACAGTGCCATAGCCTTTTGCCTTGGAACACAGCAGGACAGGGAGACCAAAAAATTCAGCAGGTTAGGGGAAGTGGCGCCACCCATGCAGTGCAGGTAGACAAGACAGATCCTCTTTCCCAAGCCACACAGACTGGACTCCAATTGGCTGTCTGCCCAAAGTCCTTCCAGAGAATAGAGGGTCCCTCAAAGTCACTCCTGGCTATATACCAAGCAAACCCTTTCACTGCCCCAAACTGCCTAGTTGCCCCTACAGCAGTCACAGACCTGAGGGAACTTCCCAGGCTGGTGTTGTAACAATGGGATTGTTCTTTCCCTGGGATGGTGTGGTCTGAGTCTCGCAGATGTATAGAATCCCCACTGATTGCCACCACCCGATGCAACTCAGGCTCCCCTTCTCACCTCTGTGGCTCTGGATTGGGGATCTCTGCATGAGGCTGACACCCCACACTCCCAGGAGGAGGGAGCTCCACTGCTGTTATATCCCTCTAGCTTCCTAGCTGCTGCACCTGCATGAGGGGGCTCACCTTCTCTGTGTCACCTCCTGCCTTCCCCCATGCTCCTGTTTATAAATTTTCAGATTAGCTGCACTTCAACGGGTTTTTCAAGCTGATTGCTCTGCAGTTTAGCTGCAAGTCCTGTCTGGGGCGGGGAGCAAGGGAGTGAAGATTCCAGCTACTCTACAGCCATCTTGAAATTGATCTGTATACAATTTAGACTTACAATAAATTCTTCTGAGTTGGTCCATGCTAACCACTGCCTGGGCCCCCATATCAGTCCGCATTACACACCCAAAATGCAAGATGCTTCACCTCAGTGAAGCCATTGCCTTGATTTACAATGTTTAGTCTGGCATCAGTATGAGTTTCGCAACTTTTTAGTATAGTCTTTGTTATTTTTTCACTAAAATTAACAACAATAAATTTAGCTTAAGCAAAAATAAACTTTGTTAAGTAGACTATTAGAATGTTACAGGGTTTACACATCTTAAATTATATGTTTTCAAGTAATTTTTTCTTTCTTTTGCACTCATTACCACCTCTTCAAGAGAAGTAAAGGTGACCCTGGCTGGTATGGCTCAGTGGATTGAGTGCCAGCCTGTGAACCAAAGGTTCCTCGTTTCAATTCCCAGTTAGGGCATGCTTGGGTTGCAGGCCAGGTCCCTAGTTGGGGGTATGCAAGAGGCAACCATATATTAATGTTTCTCTCCCTCTCTTTCTCCCTCCATTTCTCTGAAAGTAAATAAATAAAAACCTTTTTAAAGAAAGAGAAGTAAAGAAACCCAAGAGTTCTTTTTTGGTCTAGGAAAGGATGACTAGGGTTCAAGAGAACATTAAACTTGATTAAAATGTGTCCTGTAATTTCATACATTTCTTTAGCCTATCTTTATCTCTCATGAGTATTAGATTTCATCAGGAGGCTCATTATTCTATGAATTACTTTAACAAAATTGTACCAGAAAAGGAAAGAATTATCAGAGTTATACTACTTTAAGGAATAGGTCATGTCTGTGATTTGAAAGGGGGGGGGCTATATAATTATTACCAAAAATAAAAATTGGTAATCATTTATCAATAAAAAAATTTTACATATACTGTATTAGGTAGAGTTCTCCAGACACATAGCACCAATAGAATACACACACACACACACACACACACATATATAGCAGGAGAGCAAAAGGGAGACATAAGTAAGCTCATGTGGTTATGAAAGCCAAGAAATCCCATGATATGCCATTTGCAAGCTAGAGAACCAGGAAAGCTGCTGGTGGAATTCAGTTCCAACTCGTGAGAAAGGTGTGGGACAAGTCTAAATGCTCAAGAATCAGGAACACCAGTGTCCAAGAGCAGAAGAAAATGGATGTGTCGGCTCAATTAGAAAGTGAATTCACCCTTTATCCACCTTTTTCTCTATTCAGGCCCTCAAAACAGATTGGATGATGCTCATTTACATTGACAAGGAAGATCTCTTTTACTCAGGTTACTGACTCAAATGTTAATCTCTTCCAGAGAAGCTTCATGGACACACCCAGAAATATTATTTTACCAGCTATCTGGCCAGAGAAAGGTACCTAAGAACATAGGTAATATGGAATGAGATTTTTTGTCATAATCTTTCATTATTATTATTTGAAATATTGTGAGAATTACCAAAACATTACACAAAGACATGAAGTGAGCAAATACTGTTGGAAAAATGGCAGCGGTAACTTGCTTGATCCAGGGTTGCCACAAATATTCCATTTATAAAATATGCAATATCTGTGTTCCTCCCTTCACCCAGCAGAGATGACAGGTACAAGAAAGAGAATCAGATTCTCTTTCATGTAAGCTTGAACTGGAGACGCAGGGAATAGTTAACCAGTGGGATTAGGAGAGAGCAAAATTCTCAGGGACGTGGAGGAGACCAGTTGAATGGCACTTACCTTCTTCCAACCACTACTCTGGTTTATCTTTTTTTCTTTTTTAAATACAAAATTTGCTATTTTGTTTCATTTTATGTTTTTAATTAAGGTATAATTGACAGATAACAATATATTAGTTTCAGGTATATAAGATCATGATTTAATATTTGCATATATTGCAAAATGATTACCACAATAAGTGTAGTTAACATTCATCAGCACACATAGTTAACAAAATTTTTTCTGTGATGAGAACTTTAAAGATTTATTCCCTTAGCAACTTTCAAATATACAATAGAGTATTCTTAACTACAGTCATCATGATGTATGTACATTATATCCCCAGGACTTACTTATTTTACAACTGGACGTTTGTATCTTTTGACCCTATTGACCTATTTTACCCACCTCCCTCTCCCGCTTCCGGCAACCATCATCAGTCTGTTCTCTGTATCTACAAGTTGGGGGAGGGGTCATGGTTTTGTTACTGTTTTAGATTCCATATATGGGAGTGGGCAAAAGTACATTTACAGTTGTGAGTACACAAAACACAGAGTTTATTCTTATATTATTTTATTTCTATGTGAACAACTGTGAACCCACTTTTGCCCACCCCTGTATAAATGACATCATCAGCATTTGTCTTTGACCTATTTTAATAGCATAATGCCCTCCATGTCCATCCATGTTGTTGCAAATGTCAAGATGTCCTTTTTTATGGCTAAATAATATTTCATTGTGTATGTATGTCAAGTTTTCTGTATCTATCTATTCATCTGTTAATAAACACTTGTGTTGTTCTCATATCTTGGTTATTATAAATAATGGTGCCACAAACATGAAAGTGCAGGTATCTTTTCAGGTTATTCGTTTTCTTCAGATAAGTATTGAGAAGTAGAATTGCTGAACCATATAGTAGTTCTATTTTTAATTTTTTGAGGAAACTTCATAATAGTTTTCATGGTGGCTGTACCAGTTTTCATTTCCACTAACAGTGTACAGGGGTTCCCTATTGATTGGATGTATGTGTTGCTATTTTATTGTTTTCCAGATATTTCATGATTACTCTTTTCCATTTTTCTTCTCTAGCTCTGTTTCTTTGTGATGTGATAATTTTCTATAGTGATGTGCTTAGATTTTTTATCTTTATCTTTTGTTTATTTACTATAGGGTTTTGCTTTGTAGTTTTCATGAGGTTTACATAAGAGAGTTTATATTTAAGCTGATAACAACTTAACTGAAAACTCATACTAAACTCTACATTTTTACTTCCTCTAGACCATTTTATGTTTTTGATGTCACAGTTTACATCTTTTTACCTTGTGTATTTATTAATAAATCATTATAGTTATGGTCATTTTTAATATTTTTGTCTTTTAACCTTTATACCAGATTTATAAGTGATTTACTCACCAATATTAAACATTAAAGTATCTCGAATAACTATATACAATATTTACATTTACCTATGAGATTTATACTTTCATATGTTGTCCTTTTACTAATTAGCATCCTTTTGTTTGGCTTGAAGAAATCTCTAATATTTATTTTTTGTGTATATTTTTTGTATTTTTCAATTCACTTGGCATACAATATTATGTTAGTTTCAGGTTTGCAAAACAGTGATTAGACATTCATATAACTTATGAAGTAATCACCTGGGTAAGACTAGTACCCAGCTAACACCATATATAGTCATTACAATATTATTGACTATATTCCTTATGCTGTATTTTACATCCTTGTGACTATTTTTATAACTGCTAATTTGTACTTCTTAATCCATTCACCTTTTTCATCTGCCACTCAACCTCTCTCCCATCTGGCAACTCTCAATTTGTTTTCTGTTACCATTAGTTTGTTTTTCTTTGTTTGTTCATTCATTTCATTTTTAGATTCTACAAAAAAGTAATACACACACACACACACACACACACACACACACATATGGCATTTGTCTGACTTCTCTCACTTAGCATAAAACACTTTAGGTCCATTCATGCTTTCACAAATGGCAAATTTCATTCTTCTTTTATAACTTAGAAATATTCTGTTGTATATAGGTATCACTTTTTTTTCTTTTTCTTTTTTTCCACTGTGAAACCTACTACAGTGCTTGCAGTCTACAGGTAGAGGCCAGGCAATAGTTCAAGGCCACAGTTTGCTCTGGCATGGGGCACTATTAGAGACCCAGGGATATACCTCTTCTTTCGTATCCACTTGCCTATTGATGAACACTTGGGTTGCTTCCATATCTTCGATATTATAAACAATGCTGCAATGAACATAGTGGTGCCTATATCTTTTCAAATTAGTTTTTTTTTTAATTTCTTCATATATATACCAAAAAGTGGAATTGTTAGGTCATAAGGTAGTTCTATTTTTAATTTTTTGAGGAGACTTCATAATTTTTCTATAGTGGCTGCACCAATTTGAAATCCCATCAACAGTGGCAGAATTCAAAGACAGAGAGAATCTTAAAGGCAGCAAGGGAGAAACAGGAAATAACATACAAGGGTACTCCTATAAGGCTAACAGCTGACTTATTGATGGAAAGACTACAAGCCAGAAGGGAATGGAAAGAAATATTCCATGTAATCAAAAGCAAGACTATTCTACCCAGCAAGGCTCTCAGTTAACATGGAAGGTGAGATAAGGAGTTTCTCAGACAAAAGAAGGCTAAAAGAATACACCTCCACCAAACCAGCATTGCAAGATATGCTAAAGGGACTGCTGTAAGATGATGGGAAAAAAAACAGCAAAAGAGAAAGTAACACATGTAAAAAGGGGGAAAATGAATTAAGTACCAATCAACAATAAGCTTAAATGTAAATGGATCAAATGCTGCAGTCAAAAGACACAGGGTAGCTGAATGGATAAAAAATCATGACCCACACATATGCTGCCTACAAGAGACCCACCGCAGAACAAAACATCTACAAAGACTGAAAGTGAATGGTTGGAAAAAAAATATTCTAAGCAAATAGACAGGGAGAAAAAGCCAGGGTAATATTAGACAAGTATCAGACAATATCAGACAAAATAGATTTCAAAACAAAGGCCATAAAAAGAGATACAGAAGGATGCTTCATAATACTTAAGGGAAGAATCCATCAAGAAAACATAAACATTATAAACATATATGCACCCAACATAGGAGCATCCAAATATACAGGAAAATCTTAGAGGGCTTCAAGAAGGATACAGACAGCAACACACTTATAGTAGGGGACTTTAACACCACACTGTCAACAATGGGTAGATCTTCAAAAGAAAATATCAGCAAGGATATTATAGAACTGAACCACACATTAGATTATATGGACCTAACTGACATACGTAGTACCTTTCATCCCAAAGAAGCAAAATACACATTCTTTTCAAATGCACATGAAACATTTTCAAAGATAGACTACATGAAGGACACAAAATAAATCTCAACAAATTCAAGAAAATTGAAATATCAAGGATTTTCTCAGACCAAAAGTGCTTGAAACTAGAAACCAACCTCAAGGAAAAAACTCAAAAACATCCAAAGTCATGGAGACTGAATAGCATGCTATTAAACAATGAATAGGTTAACAAGGAATTCAAGAAAGAAATCAAAAAGTTCCTGGAAACAAATGAAAATGAATACACAACAGTACAAAACCTATGGGGTACAGCCAAGGCAGTCCTGAGAGGGAAGTTCATAGGAATATAGGCCTACCTTAAAAAGATAGAAACTTTTCAAATGAACAGCCTAACCCTACATCTACTAGAACTGGAGGAACAACAACAAACAAAGCCCAGAGGGAAGTGTATAGAGGGAAGGAAAGAATCAAGATCAGAGCAGAATTAAATTATATAGAGACTAAAAGAATAATTCAAAGGATTGATAAATCCAGGAGCTTGTTCTTCGAAAAGATAAACAAAATCAACAAGCCTTTAACCAGACTCATCAAGAAAAAAAGTAGAGGACTTCCAGCCAAGATGGAGGTGTAGGTAGACACACTGTGCCTCCTCGCAGAACCAAAACTAAGGACAACAAAAATTTACAAACAAAAAAAACAACCAGAACAGAGAGCAAAGAACTGAACGAAAGTCTAACAACCATTCATCCAGACCGGTAAGGAGGGGCGGAGTCAGAGGCCTACAGAGAGGGTCAAGGGGTCTCGGTGGCTGGCAGACACGGGTGCGCAGGGCGCAGGCAGCAGTTGGTGGACCCCAGAAGCACAGGGGCAGCTGACAGACCCAGTAGCAGACCCTGGTTGCAGGAGGCAACAAGCAGACCCAGTAAGGGGCACAAGGCAGCTGGCTATCCACAGTCACACATTTGCGTGCAGATAAACTAGGTGAAAACAGGGAGCGACACACACTGCACAACCCAGGGACCCAGCGCCAGGAAACAAAGCCTAAAAGCACTGATTGAAAATACCTGTGGGGGTTGAGGCCAGGAGAATCTCTCAGCCTCACAGGAGAGCTCCTTGGGGAGACCCACAGAGTCCTAGAAAGTACACAAGCCCATCCACCCAGGAGCCAACACCAGGGGGCCCAATCTGCTTGTGGGAAGCGGCAGAGGGGACTGAAGTCCTAGAGAGAGCGGAGCAGGCACCATTGTTCCCTCTCGGACACTGCCCCCACATACAACCCAGCAACTGAGGTGCCCTGCCCTGGTGAATACCTAAGGCTCCACCCCTCATACATAACAAGCACGACCAGACCAAAGGTGGGTGGGGGGAAGGTGGCTCAAACAGAATTAAAAGCCCCTCAGCCAGTACTTTTAAGCAAATGAGAGATTGCCAACCTATCAGATGCACAGTTCAAAGCACTGGTGATCAGGATGCTCACAGAATTGGTTGATTTTGGTCGCAAATTAGATGAACAAATGAAGGCTGCAATAAATGAAATGAAGAACAATGCACACGGAACCAATAGTGATGGAAAGAAAACTGAGTTTCAAATCAATGGAATGGACCGGAATGAAGACAGGAACAACCAAACAGAAAAGAATGAAGAAACAAGAATTCAAAAAAAATGAGGAGAGGCTTACGAACCTCTGGGACATCTTTAAACATTCCAACATCCAAATTATAGGGGTACCAGAAGGGGAAGAGGAAAAACAAGTGGAAAAGTTATTTGAACAAATAATAAAGGAGTACTTACCCAATCTGTCAAGGGAAATAGACTTCCAGGAAGTCCAGGAAGCTCAGAGAGTCCCAAAGAGGTTGGACCCAAGGAGGAACACACCAAGGCACATCATAATTACATTAGCCAAGGTAAAAATGAAAGAGAGAATTCTAGAAGGAACAAGAGATAAGGGGACAGTTACCTACAAAGGAGATCCCATCAGAACGTCAGCTGATTTCTCAAAAGAGACCTTACAGGCAAGAAGGGGCTGGAAAGAAGTATTCCAAGTCATGAAAAGCAAGGACCTACATCCAAGATTGTTCTATCCAGCTAAGCTTTCATTTAGAATGGAGGGGAAGATAAAGTGTTTCTCAGATAAGGACAAGTTAAAGGAGTCATCTTCACCAAGCCCTTATTTTATGAAATGTTAAAGGGACTTATCTAAGAAAAAGAAGATAAAAAATGTGAACACTAAAAAGACAGCATCTCACACTTATTAACAACCACACCTAAAACAAAAGCAAACTAAGCAAACAACTAGAACAGGAACAGAACCACAGAAATAGAGCTCACATGGAGGGTTCGCAACAGGGGAGTGAGAGGAGGAGAGGGGGGAAAGGTATGGATAATAAGTAGCATAGATGGTAGGTAAAAAATAGGGGGAGGGCAAGAATAGTATGGGAAATGTAGAAGCTAAAGAACTTATGACACATGGACATGAACTAAAGTGGGGGGATGTGGGTGGGAGGGGGTGGGCAGGGTGGAGGGGAGTGAAGGGGGAAAATGGGACAACTGTAATAGCATAATCAATAAAATATATTAAAGAAATAAAAATAATAAAAGAGTAAAAGGACCCAAATTAATAAAATCAGAAATGAAAGAGGACAAATTACAACTGAGACAACAGAAATACAAAGATTTGTAAGAAATTACTAAAAACAACTATATGCCAGGAAATTTGAAAACCTAGGTAAAATGGACAAATTTCTAGAAACACATAATCTTCCAAAAATTAATCAAGAAGCAGAAAGCCTGAACTGACTGATAACACCTAGTGAAATTAAAGTAGTAATCAAAAAACTCCCGGTAGAGAACAGCCATGGACTGGGTGGTTTCACAGGACAATTTTACAAAACATTTAAGGAAGAGCTAACCCCTATTCTTCTCAAACTATTCCAAAAAATCCAAGAAGAAAGATGACTCCCAAACTGTTTTTTATGAGGCCAGCATCATCCTAATCCCAAAACCAGATAAAGATACAACAAAGAAAGAAAATACAAACCAATATCGCTGATGAACATAGATGCTAAAACCCTCAACAAAATATTGGCAAACCACATCCAGCAATATATTAAAGGGATCATACACCATGATCAAGTGGGATTCATCCCAGGGATGCAAGGATGGTACAATATTCACAAATCAGTAAACACAACACACCATGTAAACAAAAGGAAAGATAAAAGTCACATGATCATATTAATAATGCAGAAATGGATTTGATGAGGTACAACACCCATTTATGATAAAAACACTCAGCAAAGTGGAAATATGTTGAGGGAACATTCCTCAACATAATAAAGGCCACATATGAGAAACCTGTAGCCAACATCATACTTAACAGGCAAAAGTAAAAAGCTTTCCAACTAAGATCAGGAACAAGACTAAGGTTTCTGCTTTAACCACTCCTATTAAACATAATATTGGAAGTTCTAGCTACAGCAATCAGACAAGAAAAAAAGATAAAAGGCATCCAAGTTGGAAAGGAGGAAGCAAAACTATCATTGTTTGCAGATGATATGATAGTGTACATAGAAAATCCTATAGACTCCACCAAAAAACTAATCAACCTAATTAGTGAATTTGGCAAAACAGCAGGATACAAAGTCAATGTTCAAAATTGAGGGCATTGGTGTACACCAACAATGAAATGTCAGAAACAGAATTCAGGGGAAAAAAATCCCATTTGATACAGCAACAACAACAACAAATTAAGTACCTAGGAATAAACCTAACCAAGGAGGTAAAAGATCTATACTCAGAAAACCACACAACTGTAAAAAAAGAAATTAAGGAAGACACAAACAAATGCAAGCATATATCATGCTCATGGAT